GCACACACACACACACACACACACGCACACACACACACACACACACCAAAGGAGAATTTAGAGAAACCAATTAACCTGACAGTCATGTTTTTGGACTGGAGTACCCGGAGAGAACCCAGCATGCACAGGGAGAACATGCAAACTCTATGCAGAAAGACCCTGGCCTGGGAAGAGAACCTAAGACCTTTTTGCTGCAAGGCAACAGTGCTACCAACTGCGCTGTGCAGCCCCACTTCCTTTTTTTAAATGATTTTTAAAATTGGTTTGGTGTAATATTTTAATATTAAATGTAAATTTTTGCATTAGCTATAAGCGGAAAATCATCATTAACAGAAATAAAGTATTGAAAAGATCTGTCTGTGAAATTAATCAATTCAATGTGTTTTACTTAATGAATTGAGTAACTGAAATAAATGAACATTTGAATGATGTTCATTTACTGAATAGGTTTGTATTTACTCCAATTATCACATGGGAAAGTGGAAAAAAATCTGTTAAAAACATACATTTAACCTTTTTACATTTTTAACACTTGGTTTTATTGTTGAACTTTAAAGGATACCAGTTGACCATCTTGGTGCTTCTCTCCTAGATGGTAAATGATCTGCACTTGTATAGTTCTTTATCAAGTCTGAGGATTCCAAAGCCCTTTAGACTACAATCAGTCATTCACCCATTTACACACTGATGGTTGTAAGTCACACTGTAGCTACAGCTGCTCTGGAGCAGACCAACAGAGGTGAGGCTGCCATTCAGTTGGTAACAGGTTGTCTAATCACCACCAGCAGGAAGAGAGGGTGAAGTGTCTTGTCCAAGGACACAACTGCAAAGTGACCCAGATAGAGGAAACATGGTTTCAAACCTGGCAACCTACCAGATGAACCCCCCACCGCCCGAGCCACTGCCGCCCCAAAATACACCAAATACAAAGTTTCATGTCTGCTTTAAATTTACACTATGTACATGTTTGGACTGTTGTACAGTAGTGTGATGCAAAGTGAAAGTGCTTTCCTCTCCCACAGTGGAAGCTTAAACCGCTCGGAGACAGACGACTACAGGATGGAAACGGAAGTGAAAAAATTTACTTATTGTATCACAAATATGTAAAAGAGGTGAATCATCCCATCTTTTCTGTTTCCCCTCTATTGGGCTCTCTTTTGTCGAGCTGCTGTTTTTAGAGTGACACTCATTCAGAGATATTAATAATAACTGACCCAGCCCAGAAACTCACAGTCCTGTCCCAAATAAAGAGATTCCTCTATCCAGAGGCCACCTCTCTCTTTACTGTCAGTCTGTATTCTGTGTTCCTATTCTCAGCCCAGTAGGCCTGGCTGGGTTATAGTAACTTTATTACATTTGCTGACAATTAGCAGACTACAGGCTATGGGCCAGGCATAAATACTCAGGGAGTGGACAGAGAGGAACACCAGGATAAAACTCATCAAAACCATCCAGATTCAAGTCTGGATGGTTTAGACTGAGAAATATTCATTAGATGTAAAATGCATAAAAACATTTGACCAAATACATTACTACCTTTGTTGACAGTCTCTTACAAAACAAAATTAGTAAAAAAAAAAAAAATCACAAAGATGATTTTTAAGAATCTGAAAATTATCTTTTGCAGTATCTGTTTTAATGTTTAATTTACGTCATTCTGTTTTGTAATGTCTGTTTCTCAGGTTTTGTTCTCAGGCTCCTGCCTGCTGAGGCTGATGGTCAATTAGTCTATCTGGTTCTGGTGGAAATTTCTTTCTCCTAAGGGGGAGTTGTTTCTCTCCACTTTGTATGCTTGCTCAGGATGTAGAAACTCATCAGAGATTATCTTGTTAATTGACTGTATTGTGATTTATTGAGATGTGGCTGTGTCTGAGTTTTTAAAGAGAAAAGAAGAGATTGATCAGTAAAGCTTTGTGAATGGATTTTTACAGATTGAAAATAGGAATCAGTTATTAGAAAATGTTACCAGCAGTGCTGACAATAATGAAGATAACTTTTGTGTCAAACAATAAATAAAATACAGAACATTGTGGAACAGTGCTGTGCAGTACATCAATTGCCCTCTTACAGATTTCTTCTGTTTTAGCTGCTTTTTTCTGACCTTCATTTTTTTATTAAAACTGCAAATTTGGAATAATTGTGTTTTATAAACGCTATCCCGACCCCATTTGAAAAACTAAATTATCCTTAAAACTAATAAATGGTTAATTCACCCGTAGTGTCAACAGCCTGTTAAAGTCATGCCAGTCAGAGGTGGACTTTCTGGTGTGTTTTGGATTACTGTCCTGCAGCATCATCCTATTTGAGTTTAAAGGGTTACCTTTCAGGTCTCTGTTGTTTGAAAATTAACCCAACAGACTCACGTTCAGCTGATTAGTATAATCAGCCAATGAAGCAGCACAAGTTAGACAACATCGTTAACTTCCACCATCTTTGAGGATGTACTTAATTTTCATACGAATTGAAATAACATCTTTCTATGGGATTAAAGGAACTATTACAAACTGATTACATTCCTTTTCAGGATTTTCAGGGCAAAGCAGCCCCAGACCAAAACTCTTCTACCACTATACTTGATGTTCTTTTCCTGAAATGTTTTATTACTTCACACCAGAGGTAACATACGCACACATTCCAAAGCATTATACATTTGTCTCCTTAGTCCACACTATATTTTGCCAGTCAAGGTTTTATTGGACAATGTGTTTTTTTTCTTTTATTTAGGGGTGAGGGGAGCCTCTCCCATGGATGCTAGTTTTACCAAGTCTCCTTATTGTTGAATTATAAACAGCCATGACAGAAGCATGCGAGGCCTGCAGAGCTTTAGATGTTGTTCCGGATTCTTTCATAATTTCTGGTGGTTGGTGCAGTTTTGGAGTAGTTTTAGTGGGCTAGCAACTCCTAAGAAAGTTCACCTCTTTTTCATGTTTTCTCCAAGTCTAAAAACCTTAGAAATGGCTTTATAATTAATTCCAGTCAGACATGTTGTTTCTTATCTGTTCTTTGATTTCTTTAGATCAGGGCATGATGTATTGCATTTTGTGATGTTTTAGCCTACTTCTGATTTAAGTTTTTAATGCCTGTCCTTTTACTTGGCTGGTTTGGATAGCTTTTATCCCATTTATCAAACCATTTTCAAACACGTTTATCCCTAGTGGGGTTGTGAGGGGTGCTGGGGCCTATCTCCAGCGGCCAATGAGCGAGAGGCGAGTTACACCCTGGAGAGGTCATCAGTCCATCGCAGGGCAGCTTTTATCCCTTCATATATTAACAAATAACTTCAAAACTGTGTGTTTACTCTGGCTTTTTTTTAAAATTAAAATTAGTCTGATTTTCTGAAACATGCTGGTCTGACAACAAACCAAAACCTGAATTAATCTAAGAAGAAAATACTTTCTCACAGAACTACATGGTGAGTGAAGTGCGTAAATACATCTGGTTTCAGAGAGAATGGTTCTGAGATGAAATATTGAGTTGTTCTTTCATCCCAGCATCCTCCTCCTCATCATCACCAACAGGACACAATTAGCTGCATACATGCAATACTCAAGCATTTGTTTAAAAAAATTGAATTCATTTTGCCAGTAGGATACAATGATACGCAAAGCTTCCTACCTACCTTACAAGATTCATTTACAGTGAAAATAAGCAACAGTTGACGGCAGACAGTAAGATTAAAAGCCTGTATCCCCGCTGAGTGTCGGTCGATAGAAAAACTACTGCTGATGTGATGCAGTCTCTTCAGCTGAGATTGCAAAAGCGAGATTTAACACAACGCAACCAGCCGCTGCGTTTTACTGGCACTGTCCTCCCGTCATCTCAGACGGACGCATCCCGACCCACAGCTGCCTGTAACAGGGTCTGCTCCGGAAGTGTGGGCGACTGGAAGCGGCTGGACGAGACCCGCTCTGTCCGTGGTATTTCTGCTGCTGCTGAGCCTCTAATGTGTCTGCAAACCACCGCTTCACATCGTCATCACGACTCGATGAGGAAGGCTGTTTTGATTTATCTCAAGGCTGACACATAATTTTCAGAGGCTCTGATTCATAGCTGAGGAAATTCTGAATGCAGTTCCTGGTCGCGCCACTAGATGGATGTGCAGGCACATAGAGCGGGATTACATTTTTTGTCAAATTCAAAGTCATGTTCAGTGGCGCAACTGCACATTATTCAGGTGGATGCGAAAACATAAATCGGCATATCTTCACGAAGACTTTTTCCTACCGGACACAACCTTTACTTTGGTGGGAGCACTGGCATCAATGATACCTGAAAGTTCAGAATGAAAATGATCTTCCAACACATCTACTGGGTCACAACATGGAGGCGAAGTGGAAGAATAGATTTGATTAAAAGTTTCAGCTGTGTTGTGTGTGAAAGAATGCTTTCTAATAGTAGCTGTTTTGCCAAGTGAGTCAAAAGAGATTGTACTTTCAAAGATAACAAAGAAATGATCAGACAGGGCAACATCAGACCTTGGAAGTATTCACACCCTTACTGATAATTGAATCCAGAATGTGTCCTCAATTGTGGGTTGGCTGTGTAACATCTTGAGAGAAACTACCTCAGGCAGTCAGTCATGATTATCAATGAAAAGTTAGCTGGCTATGCAAAGTCAAAAGACATTCAAGAATTTTAAATAACGTATGAAATTTTTTTTAGGTTAATTTACTTATGTTTTTGACCTGTCATATAAAATATAAAAAGAGTGAATAAGGAAAAAGTTATCAAAAAAAGTCAAATTTGAGCATCAAATAATTGTAGCACAATAGAACAATTCACAATGTTCTATTTTGTCATGCAATCCTTCAAAATATGAAAATTAGACCAAGATACTTATTGCATTTAATCTCTGATACCTAAAATACTGAACACGAAACCATAACCTCAAACTTATATGGTGGAACAGAATGAACTATAAATGAAAAGTTGTAAAAGTGTTCATAGACAGAGACACCCACTAGTTTTGGCCCTGTTCCACAGAAATCATTTATTAAACGCATGTTATGTCCAGCATAAGCTTTTAATATAAGCAGTGAAGCCGTTCTCAATGGTTAAAATGTGTAAAAGCTGCTTTAAGCATTCAGCTCACACTGAGCTCTTTTAAAAATATCAATAGAACTCACTGAGTACCATTTGCAGACCTGAGGTCAGCCCCTCTTATAGAGCAACAAATCAAATGAGCCAGCAAAATGCCTTGGGGAGACTACACACATTGTTGCAACAGAACTGATGGTTTTACTTTGTGTATAAAGAAATACTTGAATAAAATACAGCCAAAAAGCTTTTTGTAATACAGAAGCGGATTCCTTCATGTCTTTAGGAACGTTGGTGTACAGCTCAGCTCACACAATCTTCAAATTCTTCATAGCAGACTCCAGGCTCTGGAAAGATATCAGTGAGGATGCAAATGTGTCAAATAATCAGAAATTAAATCTGACAATATGGCTGAGGCTTGTATGTGTGTTACCTTGACATCCCAGATGCCCATTCCTCCATCCATGCCAGTGGTACAGAATTTGGTGCACTGGTTTCTTCCTCCCTCCAGCATTGAGATTTGGCTGAAACGGAGGTTTAGAAAACTCAAAGTCTGTACACTAAAACATGATGTGATCACAGCCTGCAGTTTGAATCAAGAAGTTTTTAAACAGCTGAAAATTTAGGAGATTTACATATAATTGCACTGGAGCCTTATTAGAGCCAATCACTTTGTGAATAAGACATTGAGAATGGGAAGAAGGAGGGCACAAAATGTTATTTTATTAGGAACTCTGTGTTTTACTTTATGCACAATTGTTTCTTGTCACCCTAACATAGGTGTCTCTTGCTTATTAAGCCCCCTCCAGGTTTTCCCTCCTCTCAGAATCTGAACACTTGTGTCTTCTGACCTGATGCTGTTCTTGTGGAGCGTGTTCAGGTCCTTGTCAGTGCTCTGAGTCTCAGAGGCTCGACGGTCCAGGTTCTTAAAGCGTTCTCTGGCACTGATGTCCTTCGAAGCTGCCTGCTTCGGAACATCCAACTTGCCACCAAATGTCAAGCTGGCATTCGCACCATCATATACATACAGCATCGGGTAACAGTCATGACCCTGAAGAAAGAAAAGAATGCACGTTTTGAAAGACAACAGACACATGAGCAGATACTGTTTAGTATATTATGACATGCTGGTTGTTTTAAGTAATCAGAAGATGAAGAACTCCAGATACTACAAGTAGAATTCTAAATGGTTCAGCTTCAAATATTTTGAAGCTGGTGGTTGTAACATGACAAAGTGTGGAAAAGTTCAAGAAATATGAATACTTTTTTTGAGATGTTGTAACCCAATTTAAATTGAGATCATGAATTGTGCTTAAAACAAGTGCCAGGATTGTGTTGAATACTCACAGCAGCAACTAAGCTGTTCTCAGTGATGAAGGTAACACACAGGAGAGGAAGAGTTTCCGAGCTCAGGCTGCTCACCCTATGAAAGTCATGACAAAAAGTTAAAAGTCTAACACTGAAACAAGTGCTAGCTCCCCAGGTACACCGTCCCTCCATCTCTTACGTGCCCGTCTTTCCTCCCTCAGCTACTGACACTGTGGAGTCGTGGGACGTCCAGGCCAAACGGTTGCCAGAATGCGAAAAGCACACGCTGTGCACCCAGCCTCCACCTCCACCTGATGACGGTGCAGCACCTCCAGAACCTCCGGACTCGAACAGCACCTCCCCAAATGGCATCTTGCTGCCCCAAGGAGTGGGGCCAGGCTTCTCCTCCACCTCCTTTATGTAGGCTGAGAACACCCTGCAGAAGACAAGTTGCATTTCTCCCATCAATTCCTACAGTGCCTTCCACATGGCATCCCTGGTGAAGGTGTGAAAGTCTTACAAAACAGTATCTAGTATTACAGTACCATAAACTGCAAATTAATCTATTTTTTTATTCTAAAAGACTCAACTATTAATTTTAATATTTTTTGCAGCTCCCTGTGTGTCTATGGGATGTTATCTGCTTTGTGTTGTGCTCAGACAGTCATCAAGTGAGCATGAAGAGCAGCTGAAACACTAGTCATTAAATTAGTGACTAGGAGAGGTTCAGCTTCCTGAACACCATTGGTGAAATAAGTGGGATGAAGTCACAATAATACAGATCATACAATATTGATGAGATGCAGCATATTTTAGTGCACTTCACAGCTAATGAATAAAAATACTTTTATATAGATCTTATTTTATCATATAAGTATCTAAGGATTGGGTCTGAGTATGTGAGCATGAATAAACTTAAGCAACTCTGATTGAGACATCCCTGTTAGCTTCATTTAAATGTAGTCTAGCTCATTTTACATTTGGCTTGTAGAATCATGAGAAAAGCTAGCAATACCTGCATTTGAAGTCACAGGATCCAGCAGCCAGCAGCACGTTATTAGGATGCCAGTCCAGACTCAGAATAGTAGAACGGATCGGCTTCTTGATGTGCTTGCACACCCACCTAATGTAGAGACACTTAGTCCTATATTATGCTGACTTATAATTTTCAAATGAATAAAAATGAATTCCATGCAACCTCACCAGTCATTTTCCTGCTCAAAGTAACAGATTGAAATGAGCCGCGAACTGCTGCCAACGGCAAACTTATTCTCTTTTGGTGACCACTTCACACAGCGAGCAGCCCGGTTGATCCTCAAGATAACCAAGGTGGGCTTCCATGATCCCTCCTTCAGGGTCCACACGTAAGCGTTACGGTCAGCACCACAAGTGACGATGCGGTTACTGTCTGGGGCCCAGTCAATACCTTGAGGGAAAAGAAACTATTCACATTCTGCACTTATAATAAGGTGTGCAGTTCTAATCAGAAGTTAATCAGCATAAATATATTCATTCTGAGATTGTAAGGATGTACTTGAGTCTCTCTCTTTTCAAGCATGAGTAAATTCAAACCTTACAGAAAGATTTGAATTTGAAATTAGAACGTAGAATTTAGAATTTTTACTGACCACACAGCAGCACACACTCAAACATATACATACTCTCCACCAATGATTTGTTAGTGTTATTTTTAGTCAGCTATTCAATGTTAATATGTTAAAAACATCTTTAAAAGATGATGATGATGTGAAAGATTTAGTTTAGTACATGAGGAACACAGATGGTCTCACCTGTTACCTGTCCATTGTGCTCCTTCAGCTCATGGATTTTGGTCCACTTGGTTCCATCTTTCTTGTAGATGTGGACTTCATGGTTATTGGGGCACAGGGCAATCTCTAGAATACAAATCAAAGCATTTAAATGAACTATGACAACATATATACTCACTGGCCATTTTATTATATACCTGTTTGCTAGTGTGCTAAAACAACTAGATAACTTGTTAATTATGTGTCTGCAATTCATGGCAGTTTGACATCTGGATGTGGTGAAAATGATTCACTGAAGTTCAGAGTGAGCATCAAAGTTGGGAAGAAATATGTTTCAAGTGACTTTGAAAGTGGCACGGTTGTTGCTAGATGGACTTGTCTGAGTACTTCAAAATCTGCTGATGACTGTTGGTTGTTTGTTTATACAAACAACTATCTCCCACACAACAGAAAATATTTTTAAAAATCCACTGAGTAGCATTTATTAGGATAAAAATGTCTGGTTAGTGTCAAAGGCCAGAAGGATAGTGGTTCAGAATGAACAGCATCTTAAATAACCTCTGTATTAATACTAAGGTATGGCAAATACTATAACTGAACAATAAATCATATCCCAATCATCTTTGCAACATCAATTTGTTCTAATGGTAAAGAACTGCTTGCATATTTAATAGGCTTCAAAATTGCATCATATGTTTACTGTCTGACTTTAATAATTAATTTGGCTCATTGGATAAGCTTTTCTGCCTCTGTACCCCACACCTACTATAGATGTAAAGACTGATATGTTAATGCTAACTGAGAATGATAGCAACACAATAAGGGAAAAGTAGTGAAAAGTGTATCTGTACTTTAAAGCCCTGCGACAGACTGGTGACCTGTCCAGGGTGTACCCCGCCTCTCGCCCGGAACGATAGCTGGAGATAGGCACCA